TATGTATATAATATATATATTATATATTATATATTATATTTTGGCCTTCTGTGGATTAGACAAAATCTAAAATAAATTCAACCTTGTGCATCCAATTCTTTTTTTTTTTTAAATAATTCAAAATATATGCTGTACAATCATTCCACCGAGGAAAAAGAACAGTTCAAAGAAATCAGGAAAGTCCCAAATTACCATGGCATTCACGACCATGATGAGAGTATGTAAACTTTCAACCACAACTGTTTAGTTTTCAGTATTTCCGCTGAGTTAAACTGACACAAATAATAATTATGTCATAAAGCTTAAAAGATTTTTGTTTTTCATTGTATGTTGGCGAGCAAATAATTATAATTAAAAAGTTGATTAACAATGTGCACATAGATGAAGCAAATAAATGTTAACAGTAGAAACTGAGACGGATCTTTTCATTGTACACATTTTGATGTTACAGTAGGAAACCTAAATGGCTAATTAAAGCAGGGCTAGATCCCATTTAAACGAGTCACTTTCAGGGTTTGGTATGTAGGTTCACAGGAAAGATGGGACACTTCTTGGAACAAAACCATTGTTCACATCACCTTTTCCTGCTAAAGTAAGGCAAAATTGCTTGTAGGGGTGCGGCTATCAATTATTTTAGGGATCAAGTAATCTATCGATTATTCAACTGATTATTTGAGTAATTGATAAGAAATACTTTTGTCTTATTAATGAGCAACAATAAATAATCAAAAGAGAAAGAACCAGCAGTGCATTGGTTTCCATTTTACATACTGCAATGCTTTAAAGTTTAACTGCATACAATAATATTTACATAAATAAATAAAATAAAATAAAATCTATATTGAAATTTTAGCTTTTAAAGAAAACAATTTCTTAAATGCAAAAGATATATAAAAATCTCAATCACAAACTAAACTAAGGAATAAAAATGTACCTTTACTCTGTCTTGTTGGAAGATTTTCTGACATTATTAAAAGGTAAGTTTAAAAACCCTCAGGTCAGGTACACCCCATCTCCCCCTTTAGCCTCACCCCTGTTTGCTGAAGGTATCGCTTTTATGAAATTAAATGATGATTTTACCAGTCTGGTGTCAGACTAAACTCCCAGGAGCTTTTTTCCAGTAAAGGTTTTAATGGTAATTACAGGAACAGCCCTGCTGTTTTGGATGCTAGAAAAGCATTTTCTTTCACTTATCCTGACCTCACCGTTCTCAGTAATGGCTCTGACTCTTTGCGCTGTGTAAACAGACTCTGGCTCCACATTAAACTGTGCCAGCATCAACATCACTGCTGCTATTATCAGTGTTTTTGAAAAGCTAACATTTACGTTGTTTGGCAAATGAGCGCGCTACAGAGCCGTGCATTAAACACAGCATAGAAGAATTTTTGTCGAGAATGTTTTTTAGAATTAAATTACTTGATGAATTTTTGCAGCCCTACTAGCTTCCATTGACTGTCTTCTGTTAATAGTTGGTTTTGTTGGTCAATCAGGAACTGATTCAAAATGCAGATGATGCTCAAGCCACAAAAGTGGTTTTCATCCATGATGAGCGAAGCTATGGGACTGAAAGCCTTTGGACTGAAGAACTGGGAAAATATCAAGGTATTTATTGATTAACAATAAATAAAAAACCTTTTCTCTAAAACATATGTTTCTAACGTTTCTTTTACTTTTACATGAAAAAATGTTAAAAAGAACAAAAATGGGGGGG